GAATATTGCATTTTATTATAGAATATAATTTCTGCTAAGTTTTTACTAATTGCTCTATTCTTTTGAGCTTAGAATTGTTAAAGTACGGTTTATATTGGTAGCTTGGTTTTTTGTAAAAAGAGAATTTTAATTCATAAATCATCCTCCACCACGTGGCAAAGTTGGCATCAGCAACTCAAGTACTGCTTAATTGTTGTCCATGAATGATTTGATAAGTAACTTAAGAGGTATTCTTTCTTTCTTTCTTTTTTTTTTTTTTGTAAGTTATGACTTATCTCTGAATTCTTTAATATATACAGGAAAAGATTGCTATTGTGACGTTCAATTTAAGAAGTATGCTACCTTATTTTGTTTAGTTTCTCCTTTTTTGGCAGTAAATTTTTTTTATAAATTATGTTGCTGGTTACATGATCTATATGTAACTGGACTTTTTACGTTTTAACGTTTTAACCTCTGGTCTTTCGGTTGTCCTTATCAGCTCATTATGCTAAACTTTCTTTTAGACGATGAGTTTATAGTCTCAGTTAATCTCTAGGATGAGTAGCAGCTTGCTGGTCATTATCTCTTTCGTGATGAAATTGCTTTCATACTGTGAGTTACGAAGTAATTACAATACCAGCATGTAGGTAAAGTAACTGCACATTCTTCATCCAAGAGTATGTTACATGTGGGCCAAAATACTGTTAAATTTTTGTGTCATTTAACTCGGTAATATAGAAAATCAAGAAGAACCTTATGAAATAGGATTAGAGTTTTGTAGGTGGGTGAGAGTAGGATAACATACGAATTAAAAAGCTGATTTTGAGCAGAAGAACGCGTAACAAAAGTTTTTGAACAGAAATTAATTTTGCCTTTTTAAACGCTTTATCAGTTTGCAAGATGCGAAGTATCTTAGAAGGTATTCTTTTTATTTGAACCTTTATATTCGTAGCATCTGGCTTTCTTTTCTTCTGCCGCAAGGTGTTTTTTGATGTCCTTAATTATGCTTTTTTATATTAGCTTCCAAGAATTGTTTTAACTGTTTTTTTGTAGCGTTATTTCATTGGGTCTGTAGCTATCTTTTTTTTTTTTTTCAAATTTAAAAGAAGCAAACAACGTTGAGTAAAGCACTTTCTGAGTGGTTCTAGTTTCTGAATGCGTCAACGATAGATGGCAAAGGAACTTGAATGGGTGGTGTACACCTCCTGAAACTCTGCTTTGGGGTTATCCAGAGGTGGTGCTGAAAAAGGACGGATGGAATAGAGGAAAAAGCGGCGGTGTATGTAGGAGGAGATTTTTTATTTCTTTACATGGCTCCTGCTCAACATTTGGTTGCAGTGGAGGGGCTTGAAAAAGTGAGTAAAAGAGCTCTGTAAAACTCAGCGAAGATCGTGTAGCGACACCATTCCTCAATCTACTGATCATCTTTTTTTAATGCGGGGACGCCATTTTTGGATTTTATGGTCACTTTGAGGGAAAAGTGAGTCAGATATGCTACTCGTAGAAGGTTGTAGCGTTGAGCTAAGCCAAGCTTTCCAGGCCTCTAATGCTTCGTAACAAAGTGGTAATCGGTGTTCGATAATTTTTTTTACGAGCTATCTGTTGCACTGATTCTGAAAGCCAGAGCTTTCTGTAGGGAGATACAAAGAGCTAAAAAAGGCTCAAATAGTTTTAGTGAAAAAAAGCGTTAAGGGACTCGAGTAAAATGTCTTTTACCTTTCATACTCATTATTAATTCTCCCAAAACATATTTATTTACTAAGCTTTTAGTCTGTTTTGTCACTGGTCGACAGGTCTGTGCAATTCGAAGTGATGAAAACATGTTTTTAGGGTCTTCAATACATCAGACTTTTAGACAAGTGAAGTTTCTGAATAGATTTTTGATTACGAAAATATAAGGGTCAGAAGGCATCTTTTTTTTAAAATTTGTTTATGTAAAAGAAGAAGAGGAGTTTGCTATTTTTATGGTCCCCAAAACAGTTTGTAATTGATGGAATAAAACTTTTTTATTTACATCTTATCCTCGTGGATCGTTTTTCGACAATAATTTCTAACATTTTTTAAGCCCGGTTTAAAATATTGATCTGCAGACAAACTGGTTTTGGCTTTTTGGTCTAATTCTTCATTTTCTGAATGTTTATCGTTGTATATTTGTCATAACTATAGTTTTTTTTAAGTTCTAATGGGTTTTTCAATTCATTCTCTAGCGTAAATTAATGTTTTTATTGTATAATTTATTTTTCTTCAGCGTGCTTCTGACTTCCTAGTTCTTTCGTTTATTGAATTTTCTCTTTTTTCAATTGTTTAATTTGTTGCGACAGTATCAGACTTTGCTGAACAGTATTAAGGAAGTTTGGGATAGGATAACAGTTCTTGGTGGCAGAACATTAGTTGTTTTCATTTTTTAAAGTTCTTTGCACATTTTAGCCACAGTTTCTGTAAAACCTTCAATATTACGTGTTCAAAGACGATGCGTAGTGGTCCCTTGGCATACTGCTGAGGTCCGGAAGTACGGGAATATCAAAAGGATTGATGGAGACGAATACGTTAAAAGACTCAAAGGGCGGTTACGGCCAACTGATACTTATGTAAGTGATTTAACCTTCATCTGTTCTGATTTTAGGAACTAGCGTTTTTCTGAGTTTTTATTTTTTCTTTAAAGGAGAAAGAGCTTTTCAAAGTCTACAAACCATCTACCCATTATAGATGACGACGAGGAAAATCACTGCGGCTCAAGTTTCTGATTCATCAGTGTATGAAAGACTTTCTCTCAGGTATGCCTGAATTTTTCTTTTTTATTCTCGTTTCGGAAAGTTTGTTTAGTTCTACTGGTGTTTCGTTTACCATTCGATAAGTTATTTTTTCTTAATGTTTTAATTTTTTTTTATTTTAGATGGCTTCTGCCACATTTTGACAGTAATGAGTTATATTAGCAATGATAGTAACAATAATAATAATAGTAACACTGACAGTAATAAGAATAAGAGTAAAAATAAAAATAATGAAAATACTAATAATAAAAGTAATAATAATAACAGTAATTGGATTCACTTCACTTTGTGTCCTAAAGGATGCTTTTCTAATAGGTTAGATTGTGATCCTTGTACTCGCAGCTGCCTTATACCATACTGCGGTAGGTCATTTGACTCACTACAAGTACTGGCATGGCATATGAGTTACGCTCATCAAGATTTGAGCAGGACTGATGAACAAAGTTCACTTTGTTATTTATGTGGATACCAAATGCAGACTGCAAAAGTGAGGCACAACCGATAAATTTTTTTTAAGGTTTTAAAAAAGTTTCTAAGTGGTGCTTGTATACTTTTGTTCTTAAAATTTTTGAGCTTGCAATCTTTATTTATTCCCTGTTCATTTTGTAGCGATGAAAAAGAATTAAAGCTACTGTTAATTTTAGGGAAAAAATGCACATTTAACAGCAAAACATCGTTCAGTAGCTTTCCGCCACAATGCTCAGTGCTTAGAGCAGAGAGAAGCAGTTATTGCTCCAGGTTTCTTATTATTCACGTATAATTCTTTTCAACTTTTTGCGTTGCCTATATTTTTTCTTAGTTTTTTGCCTTTCACTAATATTTTGATTTAACGAAAACTGCTTCGGAAACTCGACGGTCATTCTCACTTTTCGGAAGCGTATGCTCGGTAATATATTTTTAAAAAATTACTATTGATGCTGCTAATTCACTTTAAAATGCGTTTTTCAGGCGCTCCAGCCGCCGAGAGATTAAAGCGAGATGGAACTGAAGTGCAATTGATTGAGGTGCCTTTACGCGAGCCAGTCGTACACGTGGTTCACAGACAGTAGTGGCTAGATCTCACCTGTTGGAATTTTTAAAAGACTTGAAATGCGTAACTTCTTAACATCCATTGGAAAATAAAATTATTTGCACACATTTGTCCGACTCATTAAAGGATTTAGCTCTGGCTCGTTGTTGCTGCCAGTACAGCGTCCCTCAGGGAATAGATTTCATTTTTTTTTTGTCTCTTAGGACATTGTCATGTCTGGACTTAAGTTTTCGCATTCTGTGGAGGATCTTTTTTTTTCTTTTTTATGAGGTGCGCACTGTTCTCAGCTTTAACTAATAGTTTGTGAAAGCACTAATCGTGGTTTTTCAATCTGATATTTAGTTTGTTTTACTTACTAATATACATTTTTCAATAGATTAGAAGAGTTCCATAATATTTTGTGTGTTCTTCCAATTGTATAATTGACTGACTCCCTGATTTCATGGATTATTTTTTTTTGAACGGATAAGTACCGTCAGTGATCTGGGATTATTGATGTAAAGATAGGTGATATTTTTGATGAAGGGATTGAGTATTTGCTTTTTTGTCTTTTCGGACTATTTAAAATGCACTTGTTTCTTAGGAACTGCTGTGGCATTGATAAACCCCTCGAATGAAGTTGTTTGTTCTCTTAGTTCATTCTAGCTGGTCCAGCTGTTTACAGCAGTGATTTCGTGAAAGAGCCTGTTCCTCCAGTGCCGTTCACTTCATTCCACAAATTTTTTCTTTTATTCGACTGATGCTATTGATATTTGTTAGCCATGGATGTAATACCGAGTCAGCTACTGTTGCAGCCTCATTTTATATGAGTCGATGACGTGATTCCACGCGAGAATAATTGGTCGAAATTTCTCAGAGATATTTCCGTTTTCAAACTGTTTAAAGATTTATTTTATTTGGAGCATTGCTTAGGAGATTGGTAGCAATATTACCAGAAATTAACGTTTTTTCGCTTCACAGTTTTACTCATTAAAAATGGTTTAAGAGTGGGTAGTTCCCGTGTACTAAATGTAAGTTGGACATTCCACTGTAATCAGTTTACCAACTTTTAGTTGATCTTTCATTTTTCGTGCGTTTGTTTTTGCGTCTAACGCATGTCTTAGACTGGAATTCGGCCCAATCGATACCCGTCACGGTCGATTGGGACGCTATTTACATCCTGTCTTGCTTTCAGTCATCTTGTCACGTTCCTTTACCGACATGTTCCAATGTATCGTACATAATTTTATATCATTGTTTATGTGCACATTTGGTAAATAGAAATATATTTTCTATGGTCATGGGTCCGATGAGGAACTTCATTTTTTTACTGCCTGACTCCTCCGACTGAACTTCGAGTTTTTTATGTGCATTATCTTTTTCCTGCATTTCGCATTATTTAGAAGCCTGTTAATCCACTGTGACTACTCCAACAGTCGTTCTGTTATAGTATTTAATGGTATCATTTGATCCTTTAACATGTTGTCAGTTGTGAGTAGGATGGTGGTTCCGCGGCGGTTCTTTTTTTGGGCACCATTTGCGCCGACTTCACGTCGGAAAGAATACGCAGAGCGGCGTGTTGTTGGGTAAGCATATCTGGTTTACCAATTTTACATCAAGTTTCAGTTTTTAATTGGCTACCTTTATGTTTTCTTCTCCACTGTTTCGTATTTTTGTAGATAACGGATACGGATGGTACCTCTTCTGTTTTTTAAGATTTTAATAATCTCTAGTTTAGAAACGCAGTCTTTGACTAGAAATGCTCAATCTCTGTCTGAGTCGTTTAGCCAGAAATGTGATCTTTTGTCCTCCAAATTAATTTTAAGTAAAAATTAATTTTCTAAACTATTGGCTGATGCTGGGAATGTTTAAGTGGTCACATTTTGAGCTTGTTGTTTTCAAAGATTACGAGTGTTTCTACAGAACGTTCCTTTCCCTTCTCTCCCTTCCAGGCCTTTTTGCTATTGTTCCTAAATATTAATGAGGATACCTGCTGGAAATCTGATTTCGTATGGCTTCTTTAACCTAAAGCAATAATGTATTGTGGAAAACCGTATACCTGTTGTTGATAAGTTTTTTTGACTTTTTGACAGTTATGGTTTTAGGGGGATGAGTGTGTTTTATAGAGGTGTGATAGCAGAATGTTTTTTTAAATTCTACAAGGAGTGCCTTTTTCCTGTTTTCCATCTGTGATGAATGTGTGCTTTAGGTACACATCAGAGCAAATGTTTGATGTTGTTGCTCGTGTAGACGAGTACCCTAAATTTGTTCCTTGGTGCAGAGGAGTTTCAATACGTGTTAGTTTCTTTAAAAGATATGATTTAATTATTTGAAAAATATTATGTTAAGTATATCCACACAACTTCACAGCATTTGTGCCGAAGCTAAGCTATGATAAGTGGTTCTTGCAGGTTCTTTCGCCTAACGTTTATTCGGCTGATATGCAAATTGGGTTCCCTCCTATACAAGAGTCATATACTTCAACCGTAACAGCGTTAAGGCCTGTGGTAGTAAAGGTATCGAATTTTCTTGCCAGACTAATTTTTGTTTTGGAATTTTGGTTTTTTTT